TGAATGTGCCAACCCGCGAGTTTTTAAACCATGCCACAGGTGTGTTTAAACAGCTGAGGTGCAGGCGCTGACATGCATGCATGCATATTTACTTTGCAGCTTTCTCAGTGGTGCAGTATAACATGAGGCTATACCAGCGCCGTCTTCTAGTCTTCTGACATGACATCCAAAGCGTGGTTAAACTCATTCATAATCCTCATCCTTCTGCTGTCAGATTGCTGTGACTGTGTGGATTTGCAGGCCAGGCCTCAGTTTGATAGCAGGATGCCTGAAGTTCAAAGAGCCAACAAGCTACCAGCTGCACCTGTTGGAAGATATGATGCAGTGTAGGGTTAGTGACCTGGAGCTGACACACCCAATCATCCTGCTCCCCGAGGGGTAGCGCTGGCAGCTGTGAACCAGAGCTGCCTGAGGTGCACTGTTAGACTTTTCATCACCACTTTACGGTAACATACTGGCGTCACTGTTGCCAGCGTCATGCCGTGTTACGGTAGCTCACCGTTCTGCAGAATGATACCGTTTTTTGCTGGTGTGGTATAATACTCTTGGACAAATTATGGTAACGCACCGTAGCCTTTTTTACGGTATCTCACTGGCGACAGTTATGTCAGTGAGATACCGTTATGTCGTTATGTCGTAAATTATGTCAACAAAGTAACATCATACTGTGATTAAGAAATTGGTATACTACCGCTTATTCACGGTATGGCACTGTAAGCCCGCTGCAAGGTAATAAACTGCAATATATTAACCAGTAACTTACCGTTGGTACGCATCATCAGTACCAAAAATATTCATCTCTGCTAGAGGACACCGTGTCCCAACAGGCGGTCATTTACTCTTTTAACAGGTCGTAATTTACCGTAATTTCAGTTAACAGTAACATACTGTAAGAGACTGGAGGGTTCCAAAAAAATTGGTCACTTAAATTATACAAGAAATTTACTAAAAATGGTAAAAACAGTTACCTAATTTGAAGTTCTCCACTCAAATTCAGTAAGCCACTGGAGGAAAGTTGTGACATGAGGGTTAATGTGAACAACCTTTCGCTTCACAGTGGTCCCAGTC